GCGCTATGGACAAACGGCTTGCGCGCCCTATTTCAAAACACTACATTTGATGAAGCGAAATTTCAAAACACCACAATTGTTCCTTAAGCCTTTTTCTGTTTTATAGTTACGCCCGGCCAAGTCATACTGGCTGGCATAACCATGCTATTACGATTTTCCACAGACTTAACTCTTGAGGATTTATGCCCCTAAAAATGTGATTGCTATAATGTTATGCATGCAAGTAATCCAAGGTCTGATTTCAAGTGTAAAATCTTATCTGCAACTACTCACACAAGTTTGCTACTTCCATATTCAGAATTATCATTTCAGTAGCAAAATTTGCCTTAATCAGTTGCTTACTAAAGTTTTGAACAGCTTCGCCACAGCTTTTCCGAATGGAGTTCAAAGGCAAAAAAAAACTTTTTTCTAATTTCTTTCAACCTCGCACAAACTTCGAGCAGACCTCATCGCAGTGTTAGGGTCGCAGTAGTCTAGGCAATGTTACAGCATAAACGGAATACAAAATCTCACAACTTCACGAGCATAACTTTTCCACTTTAACCCGGACACCGATTAGAACGGCCTGCGGTGAGAGAATTCTGTATCACCGAACCATTTCAAGGCCAGTTTCGAAATGATATTTTACAAGCTGGATTGAAAAGAAATCAGACGCAGCAACTAAACCAGCTGCGCGTCAGTGGAGATAGCCTGTTTAGCCTGGAGACCGACCAACAGGGAGGCATAACAGTGCTTAGCAAGTGTATGCATTTGTCTCTGTGTAGAGATCTTACTGATGACCATCATCACCGTTCTGGAGGTAGCATGCAAACCTTCGTGAGCTTCTCGTCATCTCTAGAAGTTGCCATTGAAACAGGTTCAACACACTCATCAACGCGGATTGTGTAGATGGTCTCTGAAAACAAACTCATTAATACAGCAGCATCGCATGATTTGGGCGATCCTACCTGAAAGAAAATAAGAAAGTTCTGAGACAGATACTTAGCTGTTTGGTGAACGACAGAAAAAAAAATCTTTGCTGGGAACAAATTTGGCAACCTTAAATGAGGCTCATTTCTCTCGCGATTTGAGTGCCGCGGTAAAAGTGTTGTGTCTAAGTCGAGATAGCATCGACCGAAGAGAATGTAGAAATGCATAAAAGTGATGCAGGCGGATAGCCCTGGACAATCGTGAGCAGATCATGCTGAGCTGTCTCCAATGACTGATTAGCTTGAAAAAAGAATTATCGCGCTGAGAATTTTTTGGTAATTTTTGTCAAAAGTACTAATTTTTTATGCGTTTTGTGTGTGCAACAGCTGAACAAAACGAACATCGTCACGGGGTTTTGTGTGTGTATGTGTTTGTGTGTATGTGTGTGTGTGTGTGTGCGTGTGTGTGTGTGTGTGTGTTCACAGCAACTTGTTCGCAACTTTCAACTTGGGAACCACACAAGCTAGGAAGCTGAAAATTTAGAGGGATGTTCCCCACCCACATGTGATCCCGCAAATTTAAATTCGAGCTTCCCGTGTCTGCGGGTATCACGTTCGGCCCCGAGAAACTTTTGGCAGGTAAATTATTATCTCAGGAATCACGGAATCCAGGAAGCTGAAGTCACAGGGGACTATTCCCTGCCACGTATGACCCTCAAATTTAAATTCAGCCTTTTCGTGCCTGCAAGTATTACGTGCGGTCCCGCAATACTTCTGGTGGGCTCCACTGAATTATCTTGGGAACCAAGGAAGCCGGAATTTTAGGATAATGACCCCCTGTCCACGTACGACCTTGCAAGTCCAAATTTAGCGTTCCCGTTCTCTCGGGTATCATCCACGGCCCCGTGAAAGTTTTGGCGGGCAAATTATTATCTCGGAAACAATGAAAGTCAGGAAGCTGAAATTTTCGGTAACGTCCCTCTTTCACACACAATCTCGCAAATTTAAATTTAGCCTTCCCGCACGACCGAGTACTACTTACGGCCCTGTGAAAGTTTCAGCAGGGGAAATATATCATCTCGGGAAGCGCGGAAGTTGCGAATCTGAAATTTTAGAGTGATGTCCTCTACCAACATACGACCCCGCAAATTTGGATTCAGCCTTCGCACACCCCTGAGTAACATGTATCTCGTGAACTGCAAAAGCTAGAAAGCTGAAATTTCAGCGTGGCGTCCTTTGCCCATATAAGACTCCCAAATTTTCAACGTCCCTGTGAAATTTTTGGCGGGTTATCTCGAGGCCAGAACAGCTAGGAGGCTGAAAATTCCAGGAGGATGTTTCCTGCCTAAGCAGGGCTTCACATACTCGAATCCAGTTCTTATGTTTGCCGAATGCTCACGTACGACAACGCGAAAGTTTTGTCACAAAAATCATTCGAAAGCCAGAAAATTAGGAAGCTGGAATTGTGGAGGGATATTCATCCTCCGAGGTTTCAAATTCAGCTTTCATGTACCATTACGTCAAACTTTAGTGGGAAATTCTGCAACTTAACAATATACAAACTATTTTTGCACAAATCACAATGCAATACAGTGAAAATCATTAGCACGCGATCTTCCGGTAGACGGAACTGCACAAAACACACAATCGCACCGCCTGCCCTGGTGCGCGCCGCTGTTTATTGATTTCGTTACCGATAGCGGCATGAAATTGATTTCGTTACCAGTAGCGGCCTGTAGCCGATGCGATCACGGGTTTTGAGCATTTCCATCTGGTAGGCGTTTATTGCTTTACAGTTTGGTGTGTGCAAAAATAATCGAAATGCTGTCTGCTTTGTGAGCTACGAAAATTCCCAGCGAAAATCTCATTTTCTCGCGCATGAAACGTGGACTTACGCGAAAGCTGTATTTAAATTAGTAGGATCATAGATTAACAAAAAAATCCCCCGGAAATTTTAGCTATTTTTTCAGGTTCCCGAAATGAAAACTTTTCCATGAAATTTAATGTATTTGCACGTGTGGTACAAACGAACAAGAAAACCGAATTCGAAATTCCT